TTAACCCTATTTTCTCTTATCACAAGAAGTTCAAGTGCAAGTGGTTGTAGGATTTGTTGTTTTCCCATGCAGATTCTGTGGAGTTCAGGTGACGGGTCTGTTCACTGTCCCCATGTGTGTGCACAGACCGCCTGCCGGAGCAGTCCGCAGTAAGGCAGAGAGGAAGGAAGCTGCAGGGAGGCAGGTTTTCCTGCACATCTCCCACCAGGGAGGAAGTCCTCTCATGCCTGTTGAACACTTCCCTCCAGAATCACACAGCTGTAGGGGCCGGCTGCATGGTGAGCGTTTGCATGCTCAGCCTCTTTTTTTTTTTTTTTTTTTGGTTTTTCGAGACAGGGTTTCTCTGTGGCTTTGGAGGCTGTCCTGGAACTAGCTCTTGTAGACCAGGCTGGCCTCGAACTCACAGAGATCCACCTGCCTCTGCCTCCCGAGTGCTGGGATTAAAGGCGTGCGCCACCACCGCCCGGCTCATGCTTAGCCTCTTTAGTGGTTGGTTTGGTCTGAGAGGATAGCAGAGCTGTCTGGGGGTAAAGAGTGTCTCCTGCTTCTGATAATCTATTGCTGAGTAGCAGATCATCACCCTGTGTCCTGGGTGCAAGTAACTGGATTTTAGTAAATCACAGGAATTTGGACAGGGTGAAGTCTTCTTATGCCTGGGGTAGGGGCTGGGTTTAGCTGGAGTTGCCACACATGGCACCTTATGTGCCTTTCCCTGTGGCTTGGTCTTTTCTCATGCGGCTCATGAGGGGAGGCAGGGTAAGGCAGGTGTGTGTGTGTGTGTGTGTGTGTGTGTGTGTGTATGTGTGTGTGTGTGTGTGTGTGTGTGTGTGTGTGTGTGTGTAGGGGACGGCTCAGAGAGCGGCGGGAGAGGTTCCTTGGCTTCCAAGACTTACACCCAGGTACATCACACCAGGCCACTATTGCCATATCTTGTTGGTCAAAGCAGGTGCATGTTCAGTCATGTTTCAGATTCAGGAGCTCACTATGTAGTTCTGATTGGCTGAAAGCTCACTGCCATCCTCCTGCTTCAGCCTCCTGAGTGGTCAGATTACTGCTATGCTGCTCTTGAATCTCGTTTCTTTTCTTTTTGAAGACTTGATTGTTTCTTAGTTTTGAGACAGGGTTTCTCTGTGTAACCCTAGCTGTCCTGGAACTCACTCTGTAGACCAGGCTGGCCTCAAACTCAAAGATCCACCTGCCTGTGCCTCCCGAGTGCTGGGATGTAGCTGGAAGTTTCTGCCCCACCAGGTGCTTGCAGCTGTGCAGTCCCAAATAACACAGAGGCTTATATTAATTTTAAACTGTTTGGCCTGTGGCTCAGGCTTCCTATTGGCTAGCTCTTTCTTAATTATTAACCCATTTCTATTAATCTGTGTATCTCCATGTAGCCTTGGCTTATTGGAGAATGGTTGGACCTTGTATCTTTCCAGTAGCTACATGGTTCCTCTTCCCAGAATTCTCCTAGTCTGGTAGTCCTGCCTATGCTTCCTGCCTGACTACATGCTGCCTGTCCGTTGACCGAAACAGCTTTATTCATCAACCAATAAGAGAAACATATATATAGGGCATACAGAAGGACTTCCCCTATCAGTGGGATTAAAAGCACATGCCACCACTGTCCAGCTTGAAGATTTGTTTTTTATTTATAGGTCGATATTTGTGTCTGGGTGTTCATACCACACATGGATGCCCTCGGAGGCAGAGGAAGCACCAGAGATCTCTTAGAGCTGGAGTTACAGATGTTTGTGAGCTGCCTGATGTGGGCACTAGGATATAAAGCTAGTCCTTTGGAAGAGCAGCAAGTGCTCTTAATTGATGATCAATGTCTCCAGCCCCTTCATTCCCCCAACCCCCAAGGCAAGGGTTTCTCTGTATGGCTTTGGAGCCTGTCCTGGCCCTTTGTAGACCAGGTTAGCCTTGAACTCACAGAGATCCACCTGCCTCAGCCTCCCCAGTGCTGGGATTAAAGGCATGATCCTGGGCTGGAGAGATGGCTCAGAGGTTAAGAGCACTGGCTGCTCTTCCAAAGGTCCTGAGTTCAATTCCCAGCAACCACATGGTGGCTCACAACCACCTGTAATGAGATCTGGTGCCCTCTTCTGACCTGTGGACATACATGCAGACAAAATACTGTATACATAATAAATACATAAATCTTAAAAAAAAAAGGCATGATCCACCACCATTGCCTGGCTGCCTGGCGGTTCTGGAACTCACTCTGTAGACCAAGCTGGCCTCAACCTCAGATCCACTTGCTTCTGCCTCCTGAGTGCTGGGTCTCAAAGGGTGCCACCACCACAAACCAAAATAATTATTCAAAGACATGATGTTGGATGCAATATTGCAAACCAGTTCCAGGCCAGCCTGGTCTACATAGTGCTTTCCCAGCCAGCCAGGGCTGCACCATGAAACCCTGTATCCAAAAACATAATAATAATAAAATAAAAAAAGACATCAAGCTATGATGCAGTCTTGGCTCTCCTGTCCTGAAACTCTTGATCAACAGAGATCTATTTTTCTCTGCTTCCTTCCTGTGTGCTGGAATCAAAGACATGCCCCAGCTTGATTAGGGGGTGGGATGGGTTTGCTCTATCCTTTTAGCCCCTTAGCATGTAACCTAATGTCCAAAAGTACTAATTTTAATTTAGTATAAGGAGGGTCCGAACATTGCTGTATTCTTACCAAGATCTATTAGGATCTTTGTTTTACATTGTAATTTAGTCTTTTGTTGATAGTATTGAAATTTTGCCACAGAAACAACTGCTGTAGGATCTGTTTTTCCTACAGTATGAGAAACTCCTAGTGTTTCCCTCTTTTTCCATGTTGTTCCAGAATGGGAGCTGAGGATGTAGTAGAATTGGTGGACTGCCTGCCTAGCATGAAGAAAGCCGTGCGATCAATCCCCAGCACGGCAGAAAGTGGGAGTGCTGGCTCATGTCTGCAATCCCAGCACTCAGGAGGCTAATCTCAAAGTCAGTCTGGTCTACTTAGTAAGTTCCAGGCCAGCCTAGACGTCATAGTGAGATGTTATCGGGGGGGGGGGACCCCACCATAAAGGAAGGAAGGAGGGTGGGGAAGAAGGAGTCGAAAGGAGGGAAGGGAGGGAGGAAAGAAATATGAACTCATGACTGTTCAGTGGCAGACTTTGAGATTCCCTTTTAACTGAACTATATGAACTAAAGATGTAGTTCTGTAGCAGAGTGCTTGCCTGACCACACAGCCAGCCAGGTCCCAAGATACACCAGTTTGCTCAGCTGTTCCTGTCATTATGTATGTGTGTATGTATTGATTGTGGGGGTACATATGTGCCACAATGCCCATGTGGAAATAATCAGTTCTCTTCTATCAAGTAGGTCAGGAGGTGAGACTCTGAGTCAGGCCATCAACCTCAGTTTAGCTTAAGGCTCCTAATTCACTGACACCTTCCATCAGGAAATGAGAGCCAGGGCCGATGAGATGGCTCAGTGGGTTAAGGTATCTGCCCTCAACCCTGATGACTTGGGTTCAGTCCCAGCAAGTGGGGAGAGAAAACCAACTCCCACAAACTGATGTCTCACCTCCACAAGCACACACACCCAGCGCATACACATTTAAAATACAGAAGAAAAAATTTAAGAAATGGGGTGAGAACTTAGAAGAGATAGCTCAGCGGTTAAGCACTGCTTGTTCTTCCAGAGGACCCCGGTTCAATTCCCAGCTCTCACGTGGTAGCTCACAACCCTCTGTAACTCCAGTTATTCCAAGGGATCCAACGCCCTCTTCTGGCATCTGAGGGACCAGATGCACTTGGTGGGCATATGTGCACGCAACATACTCATACACATAAAAGTAATATACAAATCTTTAAAGCAGTGGGGGGGGAATGGTGGTGCACACCTTTAGTCTCAGCACTCAGGCAAAGGCAGGTGGATCTCTGTGAGTTCGAGGCCAGCCTGGTCTACAGAGCAAGTCCCAGGACAGCCAGGGCTATACAGAGAAACCCTGTTTTGCAAAACCTAAAACAAAACAAACAAACCCCCCAAAACAAAACAAAACAGAAAAGTCAGGGCTACACAGGGAAACCCTGTCTTGAAAAACCAAGCCAAACAAACAACAAATAAACAAATAAATCTTTGTTTATGTGTGAGTGTGTGGGTGTCTGTAGAGGTCACAGAAGCCTTCAGGACCTCTAGCTGGGGTTACAGGCAGTACAAGGGTGCTACAATTGAGCTAGGATCCAACAATAGAACTGTGTCTCCACCCTCCACCCCCCTCCCCAACTAAGATCTTTTATAAGTCTTTATAACTCAAGGCAAGATGAAGCCAAGTTCTACTGTAATCCTTTTTCTTGTGTTTTGAGACAGGACTCATGTAGCCCAGGCTGGAAAGAATGACTTTGAACCTTCCACCTCCGGAGTGCTTGGAATTTACATGCATGAGATATCTAGTTTTATCCTGTTTTAAATGTTGTAACGGGCCAGTCAGTGGTGGCCCATGCCTTTAATCCTAGCACTCGGGAGGCAGAAGCAGGGGGATCTGTGATTTTGAGGCCAGCCTGGTCTACAAAGCTACACAAAACACAGAAAACCTGTCTCGAAAAACCAAAACCAACCAACCAAATAAATAAATAGTTGTAACAGAAAAAAAAAGTTTTTGGCAGGCGGAATCCAGAAACTGGTGGGTGAAGGACAGGCCTGTGCACGTCCCTTTAAAGAGAGGTGTCCATTAGGGAAAATGGGGGAAAGGACAAGACAGAGGCATGTTCTATCGGAAAAGGGATTGGAAGAACTACGGTTATACCTCAGAAACTCCTTGTTGAGAGTTTGTGGAAGGTGAGTGCTGTGTCCTGGGCAAGTGCATCCTCTCCGGTGATTCCCCTAGGAGAGACGAGGAGGCGACTCCAGCCTGTGCTCCCGAAGCTCGGCGGCAGAGGGCGCTGTAGCCACGCCCTTCCTGCGCCTTCGGGGCGGGGCGTGCTCCGGGCCGGGGGCGGGGCCGCGCGCTCACGTGACCCTAGCTCATGGCGGCGGCGGCGGCAGCGGCAGCGGTAGCGCCGGCGGCTTTCGGCGGCTGGAGCCGGATCCTGTAGCCGGGGTGTGGGCCCGCGTCAGTCCGTCCCTCCTTCGGCCCCCTCTTCGTCTTCCGGAGTGTGGCTGGCGGAGCCGCGATGGCGGAGCGAGGCCTGGAGCCGTCGCCGGCCGCGGTGGCCGCGCTGCCCCCCGAGGTGCGGGCGCAGCTGGCTGAGCTGGAGCTGGAGCTGTCGGAGGGTAGGCGCGCGGCGGGCCGGGCGGGCCGGGCGAGCGGGCGGCGGCCTGCGGGGAGGCAGGGCCGGCGGTGCTCGCCGCTCCCCACCCGCGAAGCGTGGCTGAGCTTTCATTGTTGTCCCTGGGGGGCCCCCGCAGGACTTGGGGACGGGTCAGCTGGAGACAAAGCTGCGCCCTCCGCCTGACACCTTGCCCCTCTGCCCTGCCTTTCTCCTGAAGGGCCGCACGCCTGCACCCTCTCTCCTGCTTCAGAGAGAGACACTGGGGAACGCCGCAGCTGCATTTCTTCCTGCTCCTCTAACAATGCGAGGTGCCTCACCAGTGACAGGCGTGAGAAAGGAGCGGGGAGGCCATTGAGGGTCCGAGGTTGGAGGTTGGAGGCAGTGGCGCTAACCCAGTGAGACGCTCGAGGCTGCGCTCTTAGACCACCTCTGTCATGGGGGGGCAGCAGGGCTTTTTCTTGGCACCTGTATTCAGGCTGGGTTTCCGCATCTGATCACCTCTTGGAGTCTTTGAAGAGGTGACTACCGGTTACGTGCAAATCCTGCCCAGCACCCTTCCCTTTGACAATGGATTGCTACAGGGAGGGTTGGGTTTATTTAGATAATTTAAAACATGGACTAAATCTAGGCACTGTTACTAGAAAAGTCCCCTCGACAACAATGAGAAGCACAGTGCTGGCCGTGGGCATGTGATCAGGCGAATGTGCTGTGGCGATCAGCTCAGCTCTCTGTAAAGTTCCTGTTTTTATCTCAGGCGGCCTCTGAACAAAAGCTGCATTTTCTCCGCGCTGGGTGTCAGTACTTTGCTGATGTCCCAGAGTTTCATATTGTCGAATTCCTTGGCAAAGGTCTTCACCAGTATATTTCAAGTGCATTAAAAACTGTTGATTGGGGTGAAAAAAAAATGTGACCAAGTTCCCAGAAGAGTTCCAGTTTTGACTTTTCTTATCATGGCATTGCAGGGTTTTCCCCTTTAAAAATCACAGTGAAAAACCAGGAGTGAATTTGAGTGTTACAAATCTTAAGCAGTTGAAGGAAATAATTAATTTTAATGACACTTTAAGGCTTTCCCAATGTATAGGGTGGTGCTGTTTTCACCTGCAGGTAATTACCAACATATTATTTTTCAATTAATCAGTTGGGAAGTGTTTAGGAAGATAGGAATCCTTTGGGCTGGTTGCCCAGTGATACCTTTGGTTAAAATATTCTCCAGGTTAAAAAAAATCAGTTGAAGTAGTTCGTTAAACTATGTTTCCCCCTAAGGTTTTCTTTTTCCTTGTCCTTTTGTGAAATGTTGTCATTAAGTCTGAAGAATTCCATTCAAATCTTTTAAAACATTTATTTATTTTTTAGTAACGAATCAGCTATGGCTTTCATTAGCCAGAAAGGGAGATTTGGCTGGATGTTTACATGGGGGGAGATTAAAAATAGAATCTGAGGGCTTTCACCAGGAAAGGGAAGTCCTGGGCGCTCCTCTTGGTGTGGATCTGCCCCACATGATTGTTGTTTACAGCTCTGGGTGTTTCTAGACATCTTTAGAAAGAACTGTTTCTAGGATCCGCTACTGATTAGCTTGCCCTACTCTCTGAGAAAGGTGTGAAAGTCTTAGAAACTGGGACTTGTCAGACTTTAAACATTTCAAGGTCAAGTTAATGATTTATTTTCCCACGAAGGATGTTTTAATTGGCGCATGACTTAGTTTAAATTTATTTCTTAAGGATTTGTACTGCCTTAGCCTGCATTTTATTCTCTTGTGCTCTAGAAGGAAATAACAGTTGAGAAACCTTGATCCTGCAATGTCAGCGTATTGGCCATCTGTCTGTCTTGCTTTAAGTACACAGATGGTTGGTGCTTTTCGGAGTTCAAGTGAAGTTAAAATAAACCAGGGGCCCCCAAATCTATGGTGGTGTTTGTGATATCTGCAACATATTTTGAACTAGCCTTTAAAAAACAAAAACAAAAACATTTTCTCTATAATTACTGTTCCGACAAAAAACAAAACAAAACAGCTTTAAAAAAATTTTTTTAGGCCTCTGTCTGTGTTTGTCACGACTTGGTGCATTCAGTCTTTCCCTGCTGTTTTTCTTAGGTTCAGGCTGGTCCTAAAGATAGGGAGAGTCTGAGCAAACTACTGGTAGAGAATTTTCTTTGTGTGCATGTGTTCTGCTGCAGGCTTTGGTCATAGATCAGCTGCTCTGCTGAGATGCAGGTCGGCCTCCTTTGGGCTGTTTGCCGCAGAGTGTGTTGCAGAACCTGTGTGATGGGTCAGCTACTCCCGGCCGCTTACCATGGATGGCTCATGAGCTCATTTAGAAACTGAATTTTGTAGATGCGTTGGATAGAAATCTTAACATAGTCCCCGTTTTGATCTATTTGTGTCACCTATTGACAGTAAGCTCTGTTGGACTTCACCCATATGGTGTAATGGGATTTGATAAGAATTGTTTGTTTAAATCTGTCTGATCGATTGTCTGTTGTGTAATACTTTTCTTAGGCTCTGTCATTTGAGTACCACTAACCTTGATGTGGTAAAACAGGCAGATTTGATCCCCCTTCCTGTTTTGGTTTAACAGAATGGAAAATTTGGACTCAGAAAGATTATTTTGTTTGAAGCCACATATCTAAGTGGGGCCATTATCTCAAGCTGTGATGTAGTTGTGGGGTCTGAACGATTTAGATGTCTGAGTTGTGATTGCACAATAGTTTCCCCCCCCTCTAAGAAAACACTGCATTTGTTTATGCCACAGTTCTGAAAGCTTTGTTGGTTCTCTAATTCATGATTTCTGTGTGCTGCCCAGCTGCTGTATCCTGTGCCTTCTCTGTAGAGAATACAGAGGTGAGCAGGATGCTGTGCCAGCATTCAAAGAACTCTAAGTCTGCTAGAGGACATCTCTTAAAAATGTCAACAAAGCGTCACAGGAGACTGTGTAGAGCCATGTGCAGGGCCTGCCTTCTAAGAAGGAGAAAGCTTTCCTATTGTGAAAAGCAGCAGAGAATTGTAAATGCAAGGTGGTGTGTTTGGTAGTGAAGCCTGTGATTTGGCTGGTGCACGCATTGAGGGGAGAAGGGTGTTAGACCAGTGCTGGTGCTGCAGGTTGGAGGGTGAGCAAGTCTTTCCGTGTCTGAGAACAGCCCAGAGACTGTAAAGGTATTTGAGATAAAACAACACTTACCGGAAGGGAGCCTCCCTTTTCTTGTTTGAACACTTCTCTGGGCATGAGCAGGATCCCAGCCTCTGTCCCTGCATGTTTCATTCCCTATCTCCGAGTCCACCTTGAGGGAGGAGACAATAGAGGGCACCTTCTTAGGGCTTGTAGGAGAGTTGAAAAGGAAAGGGAGATGATGGGCAGATTGTATTTTAATTTCAGAAATGGACAGGTTGACTTTTGCCAGCCGAAAATTCGTAAATTCTTTCTGTTTACCTGTAATGGGGATCCTGGTCACTTCCCTTGAGATATGTCACTTTTCATGGTGTTGCACCCCTCCCCTCCCCCCGCAGAGCTATAGCTAAGCCACTGAAATATCTGATGCTAAGAGTTTTCAAATCTGGAATATAGATTGTTACTTTTATATTGCTGCATGCTAAGCAGGCATTCTACCACTGATTTCTACTCTCACTCAGTCCTATAGACTTTTATTAAATTTCATTAATTATTAATTACACACTATATATGCACATGAGCTTGTGTGCATGTGTGTGTGTGTGCACGCGTGCGCACCTGAGTGTGCATATGTGTCATGGTGCATGAATGGAAGTGAGGAGAACTGTGGAATCAGCTTTCTCTCTCCCACTGTACAGGTCCTGAATGCTGAATTGAGGTTCTTAGTCTTGTTGGCTGGTTGCCTTAGTGCCATTGGGCCAGCTGGAGTTTCATATTTTAAAAATGTATTTTTTAGGCTGGGTGGTGGTGGCGCATGCCTTTAATCCCAGCACTGGGGAGGCAGAGGCAGGCGGATCTCTGTGAGTTTGAGACCAGCCTGGTCTACAAGAACGAGTCCCTGGACAGCCTCCAAAGCTACAGAGAAACCCTGTCTGGAAAAACCAAAAAAAAAAAAAAAAGTATTTTTTTTTAATTGGAGCATTAGGGATTGAGTCAGGGCTTCACACATGCTAGCTGAGCCCTCCACCATTGTACCCTGTCACCATCACTCAGCTCTGTAGATTTTACTTGTTTTCTTTTCTTTTTGGAAAGAGAGTCTAGGCTGGCTCAGAAGCTACACACCTAGCCCCCATAGATTGATTTATTTGTTTTTGAGATAGGGTCTCTATGTTGCTGTGGCTGTTGTGGAACTTACTATATAGTCCAGGCTGGCCTCGAACTCATAGAACTCTTCTTGCCTCTGTCTCCCCAGTCCTGGGATTAAAGGTGTGTGCCACCACACCTGAATTGTTTGTTTATTTAAATCATTTAAAAGAATTTCCCCAATGTTTGTGCCATCATTTCTACAGTTTTCCATTGTTCTCTCATGCCAAAATATGGGCTAATGCCCCCTTCTTTCCTGTAGTTGCTTGTAACTCTTTAGTACTAGTTTACATTTCCAGTTGATGGGGAAGTCCTTCTGTGTATATGCTTGTCTTATTGGTTGATAAATAAAGCACTGTTGGCCAATAGGGAAGCAAGATAGGTGGGACTAGGAGAGGTGGAGAATTCTGGGAAACGCAGGCACAGTCAGTCACCATGTAAGGAGTAAGGAGAGGAGTAAGAGGTCCCGATCCTTTCTCTGGTAAGAGAAGACCACGGGGAAATACTCAGATTAGCAGTTATGGGCTAATAATTAAGTCAGAGCTAGACAACAAGAAACCATAGCAAACTGCCAACAGCTTCATAATTAACACAGTATCCTGCGTGTTCATTTGGGACTGATGCGGCTCTGGGACCAGGCTGGCGGGAAGAATGCTCATTACAGTTAGGCACATGCTTTTTGATCAAATCGCTTTTCATTTTATATAAACTACAGAAACCATTTATATTTTCTTTTAAAAAATATTTATCCATTTAT